CAAAATGTGTGAAATAATTTCTCAGATAAAATGATGTTAGAAACAGTGTATGTTGCTCTGCCATGCTCCTACCCAAGTGATGTACAAAAGCAGCTCGGGTCCAGTGAGCACTTCACACAGGCATCTCTAGAGAGTCAAAGGTAGGCCAGGGCCTATCTGGGTAGAAGAGAAAGGACCAAATTTGTCAAAATAACTCTTACAAGGAAAAAAAGCAAATGAAAGAACCCACTATGTTTGTTTTAACTAAATGACCTTAAGCTGGCCCTGAAATGTTAGTTGTCTGTTCCTCTGTTGAGTTAAACAACTAGTGAGAAGGGCAATAAGAAAGAAGCTAAGCTGGTGGCGAGAAAATGTAAGCTTCCCAGTGTAAAGAGAAGCTTTTTCATTGAGAGGAGCCTTCCCGCCGTCCTGGTTCTGGAGCCGCATCAGTCCCAAATAAACACACAGGAGGCTATATTAATTATGAAGCTGTTGGCCTTGCTTGTTTCTTACTGGCTTGCTCTGACTTAAGTAATTACCCCATAATTGTTAATCTAAGTATGTTTCTTACCGGAGAATAGTTCCGGGCTTCCTACCCCATGGCGTTACATGTTGACTCTCTTGTGTTTCTCCTACCCAGAGTCCTTCTGGACTCCTAGTCCCACCCATCTAGATTCCTATTGGCCAGACAGTGCTTTATTGACAAATGCACAGGACTTCTCCAACATCCCAGAGCTGCTCATTTGGTTTAAACCAGTGTGACTCTGACTCTTAAATGAAATGACTTTCAAAACAACCAAGTTTGGGGCAGGAGGATTGCTTCAAGTACCAGGCCAACCTGGGCTACAGAGTGATATCCTTTTGGGTTTGGGGGAGAAGGAGGAACAGGAGAAAACCGTCTCACGGATAACACTTTTCAGTAGTTGGAATGGTCTCAACTAGACTCGTGACTTTTCCTAATCACAATTTGTTAAAAAGCAAATGAATATGCAGGTAAAACTACAGGCATATGGTGTTGGGTTTCAAATAGTATGTGACAACACTGACAGTCAGTTTTTCATACCGTTACTAAATATAGAAAATCCTGCTTACCCAAGCCCCATTAGATGCAATAAAATATAAACATAGCTGCAAAATTGCTAATGGTTCCAAGTAAATGGTGACACGTGACAGAGGTGCTCAGGGCACATTTGAGCTAGCCTGGGAAGTGTGTGTGGTTGGAAAGGGTGCTTATCACTCTGACTCCTCTGCATGGGAACCAACACTATCAAATGCACTGTTGGCTGCATTTGTAATCTACCCAAGTATCCTATAGGCATGCACAACCACAAATTCTCTCTTCCTTTAAAGAAACAGAGTTTCATTTTCTCTTTGTGGTTATACATTATGTTTTGCTTTCCTATGTTTTATGATATGCAATGAGCTAGGAAATCCCTCCCCTGGAACTACTTTTGGGCTTCCATCAATAGAAACAGTTGAATATAACGTGCATAGCACCAATGTATAGGAACAAGATCTAACACCTGGTTAAAGGATGGCATTCCTCTCACTGAAGATATTGTTGATAAAATCATGAGTTCTGGGAGGAGCCAAAAAGAAATGTTATTGTGTCGTAATGATGTTTTCTTGCAATGCTACATTGTGTGTTCTTACACCTATAAAGTGTTGGCTCCAGACAGAAACTCCCTAAGCTTTTCTAAATCATTACATCACAGAGGCTCAATAAACTGGACATGTCTTATTTAAGTGTTGTTCCATTCATATTTCAACAAACAGCAATGTATCATAAAGTGAATATTTATTAAGTCTTCAATGATTAAGGAAGGCAACCACATACAATTACATTACCTAAGAGAAATTAAAATGGACTGTGTAGCTTATATAGCAATATTCTTCATCCGTGTCTGCCATGAAATTGTTAACTTGCAAGTCTCAGTCACATCTAATTTTCTGCAGTCTCTGTAAGTAGGAGCTAATCAGCAAGCCCTCTGTTCCAGCTCTGAAGCAACATGTATTACATTCCTGAAACATGTTAGCAGAGAAGAGGGAGAACAGCCTTCCTACTGGCATTTGCGATGAAGCAAGAAGGTTCTCTGCATTCTGACATACTTATTGGAACTGTAAGAATGTGTGTGGCATAAGAGAATTATAAGTCATTTATTATCACATCTGTTATCTCTGAGTAGTAGTTGCTGAAGCGAAAGTAAAGTCATCACTTCTACAACATACTGGTGTAAATCTGTAACTTGTTGGATTGCACACAGACCTAACAAAAACCAGGCAACAGATTACTGGGCATGCTATTTTGCTGCTGAGTGACTGTTTCCTGCTAAAAGAGCACTTACAAACTTCCTCTGCAGCTAGGCAAGACAGCTCCAGAAGGGTGGGACTGCAAAAGGAATATAATGTACTTGTGGTACTAATTTCTGCCCCTATTAAGAGGGCCACAGCTGTTTTGTTTTTCTGTAGGCATTTTGCCATCCACACACATGGGTAACAAAATGTCCCCTTGCCATGAATAAACAGTCCTGCCTAAAGGTCAGACTGGCCTCTCTTTCTGCTTTTTCTTCCCCCCTTTAAGCTACCCAAAGTAATCTAACACTGAAGAAACTGAAGCACCAAGAAGTGAAGAACTGTCCAAAGTTTAATGCTTAATCTAAGGCAGAGAATACTTAATGTCTGTCATGATTGCAGAGCCCAAACTATTATTCTGCTGTAACAGTCCGCTTGTTGGAAAGCCATTGCATGGCTGAATGTTAATTAAACATGGATAGTTCAAAATTTTCTATATAGGGTCTTTTAGGATGTTCATTTTGGTTGGAAATCTTGTTTTATGAGATGCCCCTTTGCCGCACCCACTGCGCAGCCTGTATTCCAGAATCTGTGGAGGGTGTCGAGGGTGTCGGGATTGATGACACAGAGACCAGAAGGCTCCTCAAGAAGGGTCTCCTTTATTCCTACTCTGGCTGGTTATTATATACCCTGACACCAGAGGCAGCGGTGGGTGGGTCTGAAGAGGCCTTTAGTCAGGGCGTTCCTGTGGGCAAGCCCTTTTCAGGAACTTATTGCCCCGGGCATTGTATTGTTTTTAGTAAACATGTTTTTAGTAAACATTGTCTTACAGCTGCCTGGTCCCAGGCTGATGGGGAAGTGGGTCTCTGGCCCAAGGTCTGGTGTCCCCACACCCCTTTTCCTTTTATTAGATGGAGTCTCATATGTACACCCCATCAAGAGCCATCAACCTGCTACATAGCCTCTCTTCTTCCCAGAGCTCTCTCTGTCCAGAGGTCCTGCTTAGCTATCGGCTGTTTAGCTTTTTATTAAACCAACCACAGTGACACATCTTCACACAGTATAAAGGAATATTCCACAACATATCATTATTTATTTCATCTCTTGTAGTCTTACAAATGGTTTTGTTTGTTTGTTAGCTTGCTTGCTTGTTGTTTTGTTTGGTCTGGCTTTTCAAGACAGGGATTTTATGTATAGCTCTAGCTGTTCTGGAACTCACTCTGTAGACCAGGCTGGCCTCCAACTCACATAGATCCACTGGCCTCTGCCTCCAAATGCTAGGATTAAAATTGTGTGTCACCGCCACCCTTCTGGTCATTCAGAATTTAGGTCTTTTATTTCATTATTTATCCCTGGGAGCGGGGAATGTGCCAGGGATGGGCCCAGGGAGTCACACATGCTAGGCAAGCCCTCTCTTTACCCACTGAGTACATCCCTTGTCCTTTCTTGGTTTGTTTTTATTTATTTGTTGTTTTTTATAAAACCTACTTATTCTAGGACTGATATAGCACAAAATCAGATATCTGGTAGACACTGTTTATTTTTGTCTCCAGGCAAAATTTTGAAGTAGGAAAAACTGGGGAGATGTGTTCTTTCCCCAGGCACTTAATTCAAGTTCTAGTCTTACTCTGAAGTGCAGTGTTAATTTTAATCACCACAGACAGGTTTTAAAAGAGAGGGGCTTACTTCAACAGACACCAAACAAAAGCCCTCTGCATCAAGTGGGAATCACAAAAAAAAAAAAAAGATCCAATCAATTACTTTGACAGCTTTGGATTACTACTAACAAATGAACACTGTGTGTGTGTGTGTGAGAGAGAGAGAGAGAGAAAGAGAGAGAGAGAGAGACGAAAACCTACTTAGTGAATTTTCATTGTGGGATATAGTATAAACACCGTCCTCATCTTGTACATTAGGTGGCTAGCCTCACTTGCTGACTTACCTGTAAACTCACCCACCTTGACCTATATTGTGTCTTACTCTTAACCCCAGCCTTCCAAATATGGTTCTATTCTGTTTCTGTGTATTTGATGCATTTTAACTCCACACATGAATGAAGTATAATTCTTTGTATAGAATGAAGAGCATAATACAAAACAGTGTAAGAACTTGATAGATGGTTATTGCTTGGTTTGAAAAAAAAAAAAAAAGGCCTGCAATACCCGGCGAGGGATCTGTTTTTACCAAAGGTGTGGATTTGAGAGGTATTTTGTTATTAATCCCTGTCTTTTTCTGTAAATGACAACCTATTGATGTTAAACTCCACTCATCTGTAGTGAAAACCCATAATATATTTACAAACCAAAAAGATTAAACTCGTCAAACGTAATGGTGCGTTTTCCCAGAAGTTAAAGGGAGGGGGGCATTGTGCAGTTTTGCAAAAACCACGTTTAGAAGAAAAGGCGGTGATTACGCACGGGGCAGGGCGGAGGGTGGATTACAAATTGTGCTTCTTGTGGCATGAGCGAATGGTAGTTAACTGCCATATGGCCAAAAAGAAATCCACTCATTCATAACCCACTACCTGCCGACCAAAACCAAAACTACTTAAAACCACCAAGTATGTGTTTGGGGGCCCAGCAGGTTTCCCTAACGCAGATGGCACTATCTATCCTGACCAGGGTTTGGAAGAAAAGATAGAAAGCGCAAGTCAGCCTCCGCCTGGCAGCCGGTCACTGGCGTCGCAAGGCAAAGGCAGAGCAAATTGAAAGCGCGAAGCCGGAACTTACGGTGTCCCACTAGGAAGCGAAGGCGCGTCAAGCAGACACTAGTTCCGCCCACGTGAAAGATGGCGTTTGTCGTGTCATCCCTGCCAATTGCCCTTTCCTTCTCTGTGGGCGTGGTGCCCAGACAGACTAGGGAGGTGCGTGTCGGTTGCCTCAGCTCAGTGCTTGCTCCACTAGGGTGACCAAAGACGACAGAGGGGACAAGGTCGCGAAGACCTGCAGAGAGGCGCCTGCGGAACCTGGGACCGCGAGAGGCTGGGGGCGGGGCTGCACGGGGCGGGCCCGGAGGCGTGGTCGGGGCGGGCCCGGGGCGGAGCCCGGAGCTGGCTGCGGTTGTGGTCCCTTCGCCCGCGGTGGAAGCTCGGCAGCGGCGAGTGGGTGAGTGAGACGCGCGGGCGGAGCGGGGCTGCTGCTTCGGTCGGCTTGCCGGCCGGCGCCGAGTACCAGCGGGGCTTCTTTTTTTCTGTTTCGGGCTACAATTCCTCCCTGTCCCCTGAGCGAAAGCTCCCATGGCTTTGCAGCGCAGCGAGCCGTGGAGTTGCGGGGGGCCGCGGCGGCGCGGAGGGGATGAGCTGGGCCTCGTCTCTGCTGTCCGCCCGCGGTCCCTGACCCCGAGCTTCTCCCGGGCCATTGCGGGAACCCGCTGGGAATACGGCGGGCGCGGCCTCCGCCGCCAGAAGCCTGGGCCCCAGGGCCCTGGCCCTGCGACAGCCAGAACGCTGGCGATCCAGGGACCCATTGGGGTTTGCCGAGGGTCCCCGCCCGGGAGGAGAAAGCGCGGGTGGGATGGAGTAGGGATGGGCGGCACGCTGGCGGAATTTCACAGAAGTTTGTGAGGAGTGCCGATGCTCAGTAACGTGGGCTGCAGCTCCGGGCAGGGTGTTCCCCATTTCTGTGGGACATGACCTGGTTGCTTCACAGTTCCGCGGTTGCACAGACTTACTAAAGGAAGTGACCATTGTGACTTGGGCATCACTTGACTGATGATAATCAGTTGTTGAGAGAAGCGCACTGATTATAAGTCTGTCCACGTAAGGTCTGTCTGCCCAGCAGAGAAAGAAGGGAAGAGGAGAGAAATCGTGCATTTGCCCGGGATGGCTTGCTCTTTCTGGTGTGGGGATTAGCCTCCTGTAGTGTTTTGTCCTGGCAGGTGGATAAATTCCTGTCTACACTGTTCCTGACCATCACCAGTAGTGTAAACCGGATTCACAAGTCTGTCTCAATAGTACTTTTACTTTGTACAAAGGAACCCAAAAGAGACTGGAAAATACTTTGAGATAGGATCATGTTAGTCAACTTGGAAAATTTTTAATACAGAAACAGCACAGAAAATAAAAGACCGTAATACATGGATGTTAATAATATGGAATCAGAATATTTGAAATATTGTAGTCATCCCCTATGTTTAAGAAGACATGCCAGAGCCGGGCGTTGGTGGCGCACGCCTTTAATCCCAGCACTTGGGAGGCAGAGGCAGGCAGATCTCTGTGAGTTCAAGGCCAGTCTGGTCTACAGAGCGAGTTTCAGGACAGCCTCCAAAGCCACAGAGAAACCCTGTCTCGAAAAACCAAAAAAAAAAAAAAAAAAAAAAAAAAAAGAGGACATGCCAGAAGGCTCCCAGTGTGAAAAGAAGCACCTATATATACTAACTATCTCGTCAGTGTGGGTGTTTTTCCCTCTTTGCATATCATACACACAATAAAGTTTAGAAATAGGCACGATAAGAGATTTAAAATAACTAATAATAAAATAGAACTATTGCAGCAATGCTGTAATAAAAGTTCTGTGAATATAATCTCTCTTTTTCAAAGTAGCTCACTGTACTTTCACCCCCGTTGAGTAAGACAAAGCTTACCCGAATGCAGGCACCTTGGTACTTGGACACCTGATCAGATAACCAACAGGACAGAGAAGTAACTAGTGGCAGACAGTATGAATAGCATGAATATGCTGGACAAAAGGGTCACTCACAACCTTGGAGCAGACAGCATACGATTTCATCACACTACCCAGCACAATGTGTCGCTTAAAATCTGTAAACTATGTTCTTCTGGGGATTTTCATTTACTTGTTTTGCATTAAAGTTTGCTACAGGTACTAAAACTTCAAAAACTAATCTGGATCAGGAGGAGCTAGTTTTGTCTGTGTAGACACTGCTGACTAGCACTGCACTGAGCATTGGCACTGTGGGAAAACTGAATTAGTTGGAAGCTGCCCCAAGGTGACCAACACAAAATGAGAGGAACTATAGACTGCACCGCAGGTTGCGTGATAAGCAAGTATTTAATGTTCCGGGAGGGAACTGTCAATATAACTTAAGAAGTTGGTTAAAAAAAATAGTCTGCTTGACTATTAGAGAATGATTGAATGAGTAAGATGTTACCTTTCGAGCCTGCCCTAGGGCCCCATGTTAATTGAATGCTTCCAAAGTGTTAGGTTAGTCTGCCTGAGAAACTATGAGAGAGAGCACAGTCACCGTGTCATGAATGCATGAGTCTTGAGCATTTGTAAAGAATGACAAAGGCTGGTCTTCCAAGTAGTCCACTGCCTTTACAGAGGCCTTGGCTAGTTCCTGTTTGGCTAATGGAGTTGGTTTGCAGCCCCACTTCTCTTTACTGGGAGAAATAAAGTATTGGTACAAGTGAGAGCTGTATGGTGGTATAACTCTCTTCACAGCCCTAGGCAAAGACTTCCTAAAAGGAGCCTGCAAAAGAAGGTAGCTCTTTTTTTTTTAACACGGGTTTAAAGAAAAGGCTCAAATGTACCTTTCTGCTAACAGTGTTAACATGCTTATTAACATAAATATACTGTTGTTACTTTTGGAAGTATTGGTTAAGACCTCATGAGCCCTGAGTTTTATTTGTAAAGTGACAAGCCACCATCTCACTCAGTTTAGATCCTGGCTTCCCTCAAAAAACTCTGTGACACTAAGCCACTCACCAGGTGGTGGCCACACGATGCAGAAGTAGATATGATCTAGAGAAACAGAGCTTAAAGAGAAGCGCACTTCACGCTGCTGAAGGCTTTGCTAGCTTACTTGATGTGTAGAAAGGCTGAAGCTACTGGGAAGTTGTCACAAATGAGGAATTAGAAGAACGTGTTTGCTAATCTGCGGAAAAGGGGAAGAAGAAACTGAAACAGCCTGAGATGTAGACATAGAAATGTGATGAGGATGGTGCATATAAATTGCGAGGGCATCAAAGGATAGAGCTATGGAACACAGGCCTCGGGGAGAGCTCCGCATAGAGTCATCATAAGGCGTATAACAGCTGCAGCAACAAATGGATAACTTAAACGAGACACCAACTTCTGAATACAGTGTTTTTGTTTTGTTTTTCAAAAGAAGTGGGCTTAACTTTCAGCTGTGGAAGCTTCTGGACCATTTCCTCCTCCCTGACTTCTAACCCCCGGGTTGTCATAGCTCAGAGATTGACTGCATCAGAAAGACAGCAGTAGCCTGTCATAGCTCAGAGACTGACTGCATCAGAATGACAGCAGTAGCCCAAAGGCCCGTGCCATCCGCCTCTCCTCCCAGCACATCGCATCATGTCCGTGTGTCATGGCTTATTATCATGGGAAGAAGAGGAAGCCTAATCCAATAAGACATTTCAGAAAGAAACAGGCAGGCTAAATTTCAAACCAAACAACCCAACACGGTCCTTGATCCTTTCTTTTCTTGATAATTAGACTAGGAATAAGTCTAAATAAAATGAATGACAGAATAGTTTAACTAACAGTCAGGTTAAAAGTTTTCCCATAACTCTATAGAATTTTGCTCTGCTTTTAAAAGTACTTTTCTTTCCATTGTAATGATGAAATATTTGAACTGTACTGTTGTATTAGAATTATTCACCTTTTTGTAAAGATAGATTTAAGTAGCATATAAATATGGGGGATGGAGGCATTTTCAAGGCAAAGATTTATGATCAACTATCAGATAGTGCTTGGTTCATAAGAGGTTCCTTTACCTTTCTAATGCTATGACCCTTTAATACAGTTCTTCGTGTTGTGATGACCCCAACCATAAAATTATTTTCATTGCTACTTCATAACCGTAATTTTGTGGCCGGGCGGTGGTGGCGCACGCCTTTAATCCCAGCACTCGGGAGGCAGAGGCAGGCGGATCTCTGTGAGTTCGAGGCCAGGCTGGACTGACAGCCTCCAAAACAGTACAGAGAAACCCTGTCTCGTAAAAACCAAAAAAAAAAAAAGAATCTGTTACGAGAAGCTTTTTCTTTTGCTAGCCGCTTTGGTTTATCCCCCCCGCCAGTCGCCTGGGCTCTGCCGCGCCAGCCTGGTTCTAGATCCGCATGAGTCCCAAATAAACACACAGGAGGCTATATTCGTCATGAAGCTGTTGGCCTTGCTTGTTTCTAACTGGCTAGCTCTGCCTTAAGTAATTACCCCATAATTGTTAATCTAAGTATGCTTCTTACCGGAGAGGTTCCAGGCTTCCTACCCCAATGGCGGTTACATCTCGAACTCTCCTGTGTTTCTCCTACCCAGAGTTCTCCTGGACTCCTAGCCCCACCTATCTAGATTCCTATTGGCCAGACAGTGCTTTATTAGCATAAGACTTCCCCAACAAGAATCAGCTTCTGGGCTGTAGGCAGGGCTCAGAGAAAAAACAAAGAAAGAAACCATAATTTTGCTAGTGTTATGAATCGTAGTGTAAATGTCTAATATGCGGGATATGTGACTCCCAAAGGGGTGTGACCCACAGGTTGAAAACTGCTTCTTTAGATAGCTGAAAATATTTCTGAACTAATGAAAGGAATAATGATAGTCTTTAAAAAATGTAAAGCCTCATCTCTAAAAATTTTATTGTTGGTAATGCTACAAAAGTTCTAGTGGAATTCAGCTATAGTATATTGATTTTGCATGTTTAAGTATGGGACAAACACATGAAATGTTTTCTTCCTTTGGTGCTGGGGATGGGACCAAGGGGCTTACACAAGAGCTCTACCACTGAGATGTGTGCCCAACTCTGAAACATTCTTTTACAAGATAATATTTTAATGTCAGTGAGGAAAGAAATGCCTTTGGGCAGAGGCAGTGTCTGTGGAACATCATCTGAACATATTACACTGGTGGTCACATCTTCAAGGACCATGTTTTCTGTGCACATTACTCATTTGGGCCCACCCTAGAATAATTCACCTTTTCAAACAAATAAAAAGAAAGAATGGAAAAGCAATATGTCTGCAGTATAACCTTTTGGTTGTGTGTTCAGTTAATTTCTCGTGTTGGCCTCCAGTTTGCTGCTGTTAAGGACAATAGCACCATTACAGCTTCAATTCAAATTTCATTTCTCTACTCCCTCACTGAAAACTGACGTTTCCAATTGTATCCAAAATATTCAATACTTTAAGCAAGCTGTACATCTTTGACAGTGTGTGGTCTCTTCAGACTATCAAATTGACGTATATTAAAAAGTAAATAGTACTAAGTGAATTTCTGAAATTAAAAATGCACGTGTGAAAATTCCAAGTAAACTATTCCTTAGAGTTAAGTGTTTTGTCAAGTTTTGTATGCCTAATCTTAATATGCTAAAAACACTCACTCAGCTTTCTAAATATAGACGTTACTCCTTTGCAGGAGACTCTAAACTCTCTTGACAAGACGAGATAAGAGAGAGCAAGTGGGAGGGGTTAGTTATGTCTTTCACCGTGTGGATCTTAGGGACTGTGTGCAGGTCATTGAGCATGGTGGCAGGAGCCTTTACTGTTTGAACAGTCTTGCCAGCCCAGTAGATAAACATTTTCAAATAAATTACTTATGTGGACATCAGTTTGTTACAGATCAAATGTTCACTCCCAAAGTAATCATACAGGCAAATTATAGGTTTATCATAGTTCACATTAGCTTCCCCCAGTACTGCCACCATACATAGATCCTCC